CATAGGGGTCCAGCAGGGGGACGATATCAAAAGTCAGGGAGGGCTTGATGTCCACCAGGAACTCACTCAGATGGTCCACACGCTCTGCATAAGGCTGGAGCAGCTCAGGGAGCAACTTGCCTGGAGAAAGAGCCAAGAGTAACAGTGAGCTCTTTCCACTGGGGTGGATGTGCAGGCCCGTTTGGGAGACAAAGTCCCTAGGCGCTGAGTCTCCCCAAGCAATGGCAAGAAAGGGATAAACTGGAACCACTGGGGGGGGGGGCGGGGGACACAAAGGGGGAAGAAAAGAGCAGCAGACACTGTGGGCTGGCGTACCCAGAAACAAGCCCCCAAGAAATGTCTACCGAGAGGCAGGGCCAACCAGTAGGTACCAGCTGGTGGGTAAGTCCAAGAACTGCCCCCATTCTTGAGGTCCCCTCTCCATTCATGGCAGTACCGGGTACCTAAACTGACCTAGCCATTGTCAGGGCTGATCACCTGGGAAACCATAAAGTGCAAATCCCTTGGTTCCCATTGGGGGAAGTTCTGCTTCCAGTAAAGGTGACTGGACCACACCCTAAGGTTACCACACGTAGTCATCGAACAGAAGTCCCACAGCAGTAGCCAGCACTGTGGCATTTTGGAGGGGTAAGAAGTGGCCCTACCCTACCTTGATCCTGGCACTGGGGGAAGCCAAGGAAACTTAATGGGTGTCCTCCACTGCCCTAGTCCAGGGTCCCTCTCACTCACTCTTCAACAGATCTTTGTCTGCTACTCCCACCACAAGCTGCTCCTGGGCCAGGACACATGCAACACTGAGCAACACTTTGTGGGCATTGTGCAAGCGGTCAAAAGTGCCACCCACGGCCCCACGGTGGTAGCCACGCACAGGCTGCTTTGGAGATCTGGCAACCGGCGAAGCTGGCCTTATGGTGGAGGGTAAGGGGGCACTCAGGGGTTCCACAGGCAGCTCTCCAGTTCCATAATCCGGATACAGCAAGACAGAAGACAGCTGCGAACAACAGCTGTAGCAACTGATTGCATAGCGCTCTAGCTGTTGTTTAACAGGGTTGTACTGGCTCCCATCCAGGGTCTGGAAGTCCGTCAGAACTACTTCTGGAGGGTGGGCCAAATTCTGGACTGAGGGCAGTACATGGAGGAAAGTGCTCTTGGTTTGGATATTGGTCAGTAAAATTCTGACGTCCAGGTTTCTGTGCAGGTCGGCACCGCTGTAGAAATGCGTGATGAAATCCAGAACTTCAAAGGTGGCCTGCAGAGGGCTAGCCTGGGGCTGGGCGGGGCCCGCCAAGTCCATGCCCGGTTGCAGGTGCACATAGAGGGTGTGATTGACCAGACGGGCCGCCGAAGTCAGGATGGGGGGCAGGCGTGGGGCCAGGGTGGCCAGCGGCGTTGTCAGCACCAGGAGGCCGGAGCGGAATACGGCCATGCTGCCCAGGCCTGCAGACAGTCAGAGAGACGAAGAGACAGTGAGTGGCTAGGCGGGCTGAGGCCGAGGCCTGCAGGGGAACTCGGACGCAGGAGGGACCTGGAGCGGGGCAGGGGGCCGTTCGCTGATCGAAACCAGAATCCTAGCAGGGGGAAGCGGCCGGGAAGCCCTGAGTCACGGGGGCTGGGGCTTCAGGAATCCTAGCCCCTCCGGTTAAACTGAACCGGCATCAGCGAAGACTCGAAGGCGGGGACTAGAGGGGACGCTCCGGCTCGAGTCGCTTCCAAAAACAGTTCTTGGATTGTTTCTACTTACACCGCCGTGGAAGCGTCCTAGGCTGCGGCCCGGAAGCACTACCCTCAGACTGCACAGCACGGAGCTACGGGAACTCGGAGCAGTCAAACGTGCAACGCGAGATTAAGGCAGAATTCTCCAGAATACCTCTGGAGCGGGGGCGGCGGGGCGGGGCTGAGCACAAATGCTTCGGGGTTGCGCGAAACACTGGCACCGGATTCTCTTAGACTGGCAAGAAGCGGGCTTGGCGGGTTGCAGCGCCCATTTCGCGGATCCCTGTTGGCCTTTGCTTCCCTTGGCTTGCTTGGAGACAGTGAAAAACCAAGATCCATCCCGGCCTTCTTTCTTAATGCCAGAGACAGGGACGGTGGAGTCACGCTGCTGTGCTTGCTCCGGGCCAGCGTTCCCAGCTACTAGACAGACAGCTCTACCACATCTCCATCCCACCTAGGGGCAAGTCTCGTTCCTTCCATGGGACACTAGGGTTTGCAAGGACGCCAAGAGGGAGATCTTAGCGCGTTAGGTCAATAACGCTGCGGGGATCTCTGGCCCGGTGGCGGTGGTGGGGGAGACCTAGGGGTGAAGATTCCCAGCGAAGTGAATGAGAGCTAGAAAACCAAAGAGAGTTGGAGGGTGTGGAGGGGAAGCCAGATAGCCATCAGAAAACATCTCAGGTAAATCGTTCATGGAGATTGCAAAGAGGAGAGCAACCCAGCCTCAAGACTTTTGAAAAAAGCCGAGCATTGATTTGCTCTCCTGGCTTTGATCCTAAGAAGGATCGCTGCAAGTTCGAAATCACCCTGAGTTACAAAGCCAGCACCCACCCACCCCATTCCCCTGACCAGGCAGGTGTTGACAGACTGGAGAGGAGACCTGTAATGTGCTGTGGTCCCGAAATCTGGCCTTGTAATCTGTTAAAGAATCAAGCTTCTTGCAGGAGACTTTTCAAACTGGATTTTAGGGAGGAGTTTAAAGGAGTCAAAGGAAAGGTTGGGGAGGTGTTAGTTGTGCATGTTTTTTGTTTGTTTGCTCGCTTGCTTGCTTGTTTTGAGACAGAATCTCACTATGTAGCCTATACACTGTTGCTTTTATTAGATGCCTATTTAGTTTACTGCCCTAAGTATAAAGCATAGAACAAAGAACAGAGTTCACGGAAGTGGATTTGTATATGTCTTGTGATGAGAGATAATAAATACAGAATGCATCGGTGGTGACCAGACAACAAAGAAGACTAAAACAGAGGGGAAGAACTATATCAGAGGGGAAGGAATACTTTTTTAGGCAGGGTGGCTCAGGGAAATAGCAAAGAACTGGAGAAGGAAATACAATTAGAGGTCAGGGGAAACGAACCAGTTAAAGATGGCAAATTTCAAGCCCGGCAGTGGTGGCACACACCTCCAATTCCAGCACTTGAGAGGCAGAGGCAGATCTCTGAGTTTGAGGCCAGCCTACTGCACAGCAGCCATGACTACTCAGAAAGGCAGAAAGGCAAGTGTCCTTGAAAGTATTAAGGAGGCCAGGAGAGCAGTGTGCACAGGTGAAGAACGTGGCATGAGAGGTCACAAAGGGTGCAGGGCTGCGGAGATCGTTCGTGGATAAAGCCCAGAGTGCCTGAGTTCAGATCCCTAGGTGCACATAAAAGTGTTTCTTTCTGTCCTCCTGTAATGCCAGCACTAGGGAGTCAGACATCTAGAACCCTTGGGGGCAAGCTGCTAGTCTAGACAAGCTGGAATCATGGGTCCAGTGAGGCTCTGCACCAATAAATAAAGACTCCCGACTTCAACTGTGGACCTCAACACATGCACACATATATCTGTACACACACCTGCCCACACACAGACACATGCACAAGCAAAAAGTGAAAAAGAAAAAAAAAAGATACAGGAAGTCTTGAGAGCTTAGGGTACAACATTAGATTTTGCTGAGATGGAGTCAGCAGAAAGTGTCTTCCACCCTCAAACTCTGAGGGTGCAAGCTCTGTCCACTGAGCTACACTCCCTGCTGACTCCAGGCAAGGGTGTTTTAAGCAGATACAGTTAGGCCTCTTTTTTTTTTTTTAAGACAGGGTTTTACTGTCTTAAATGTAGCACTGAATGGTCTGGAACTTACTGTGTAAACCAGGCTGACCTCCAACTCTAAGAGATTGGTCCAACTCTGTCTCCCAGCATGCCTGCTGTGTGGTTTTTTTTTTTTTTTTGGCTTCTCTTTTGGGGACAGTGTCCCTTTTATCCCAGGTTGGTCTTCAGCTTCCTCTGCAGTGGCAGCATGATTTTTTTTTTTTTTTTTTTTTTGAGACACGGTTTCTCTATAGCTTGGGAACCTGTCCTGGAACTCGCTCTGTAGACCAGGCTGACCTTGAACTCACAGAGATCTGTCTGCCTCTACCTCCTGAGTGCTGGACTAAAGGTGTGCACCACCACCATCACCAGGCATGATCCTTCATTTCTGATCTTGCCTTTACCTCTCAGATTCTGAAAGCACAGGAATGCTGCCTACCAGGTTTTTAAAATGATTATTATGCAGATAAGTGTTTTGCCTATATGTATGTCTGTGTACCACATGCATGCCTGGGGACAGAAGAGGGCATTGGGTCCCCTGGAGTTAGAGTTATGGGCAGTTGTGAGTCACCATGTGGGTTCCAAGAACTGAACCCAGGCTATGCCCTGGCAAACAGCAGCCAGTGCCCCTAACCACTGAGCTACCTCTCCACTTCCCTCTCCTGAAGGCTGTCCAGCAGGCCAGACTGGCTAAGTCGTCTTGCCTCCACCTGTAGAGTGCTGGCATTAGATCTAGTGCCTTCTGTATACACGTGACTCTCAGTTTGCATTTAAAGAGGTCATGCTAAGAAGTCAAGCCTAGTGGCTCAGGCAAAAGTCATCCTCAGCTACACAGCAGGTTTCAGGTTAGCCTGGGCTACCCGAGACACTGATTCAACCACAACTGGACTGATCCCAATCATTGCCAGCAGTTAAAAACTTGCTGGTTCATCTGTTAAAGCATTTACTGTTCAAGCTGGAAGATTGCAGCCAATCCTTGAAGTCCATGGTGGGAACAAAGTTGTTGCCTGACCTCCCCCCTCTGTGCCCCCGTGGAATGTGTCCCCCTCCACATCATGCACAATAATAATGAGCACATTTATTGGAAGAGAAAAACCTTAACCTAGCACCTCTGACTATACATATTAGCCGTCAGTCTTGACCCATGAGGGAGTTTGCACTATTTAAATGATTCTGAGAAGGGCACAGTTGCACAGGCCTTTGTTTCCAACACTCAGGAGGCAGAGGCAGGCGGATCTCTGTGTTAAGAGGCCAGCCAAGGTTACATAATGAGTCCCTGTCAAAAACAAAACAAAGTCTGAAATAAAAAAAGGAGACCCTGGCTTAGTTCTTTTGCTCATTACATGGTTTGTTCTGATCTGGTTTATCCGATGTGGGCCAGCACAATTCATATGCCACCCCCGGGGTCTCGCACCCGGGGAGGCAAATGAGGGAGCTGGAGGCCCTGTCCTGGTTCCCTGGAACTCCAGCCCCAGCCTCTGCACCCTCCTGCGCCTGCAGGTCAGCAAAGGCTTCATGGTGCATAGCTGCGACATAGCTGCTCCCGCTGGGATCCTCTGTGCGCGTTCGGACCAGCGCCAGGAAGCGGTCAGTGGAGAAGTAGCGCAGAGCTGGCTGTGGGGCTCGCAGCGCGGTCAGGAAGAGCTGCGGCGGGAAGAGCAGCGTGGGTTTGTGGGGAAGCCACTGGGGGTGCACCGCTGTAACCCACCCGGATACTGCGCCCTGAGGCTCCGTTTGTACCCACTTCCGTCACCTCCTCTGGGTCCTGCGCCTCGCTCAGAACTTGCTCATAGCCACGCTGGTAGTGTGCGAAGAGGTGGCGGGTCTGGGCATCTGCACGCTCCAGAGCCCCGCCCGGGCCACCCTCTAGCTTCTCATAGAAGGCTGTGTGCACTGGCCCGCACTCGATGAGGCTCACGCTGCGGGGTGGGGGGTGGGGCAACAGAAGTAACTGGTTGGTGGCGGCGATCACAAGCCTGACCCTAGCTTCACAAAGGGAGGACACTGAGGAGCTGTGCCCGGGTGGCAGATGTGCTAGAGAAAGGCTCCTATGTCCATCTGGGATCTAGTCATCTACTCTCTGTTACCCATCCTAATGTGCCTTAAGAGCTAGGATGGCTTGTGAAGTGAGATAACCCGTACCAAGCTCCCTGCATAGTGTCTGGCACACAACGTGAGCTGGAAAAGGAGGGCCAGAGGCATTGCTCTAGCGTGTCTCCAAGATCTGGTGCTGGGCTTCCCATGCTTCAAAGGGTTCTGGAGGGCTAGTGACTCACTGGACTCCAAAGGGTGGCAGCAGGACCGCTAGACTCTCGCACAAACCTTCGAGCGCGAACTTGCTAGCACAATAAACTTCGTGGAATGGCAGCCCTAGGACGGGAGACAAGGTTACAAAAGCCCTGGCATTCCTCGCCCTGGTCTGCACCCCATACTTAGCGCACTTTTGCTCACCCATCAAACCTCCTACACTCGCAGTCACTAGCACACGCCCGGAGTGGCGCCTCTTCATGTCTGGCAGAAAGGCCTGCAGCATCCGAACCGTTCCAACTACATTCACATCCAGCACAGCGCCCACTGCATCCAGCTCGTGCGCCTCCAGCGGCCCGAACAGGCCCCGGCCCGCATTACACACTGCAGGGAGAGAGGACAGACACGTCTCACACACTGCACTCTCCTCTCCCCGCTTGTCCTCCCATGTTCCCTGAACTCGGAACTTTCAAGTTTGGCTGGACACTGGGTAGTAAAGACGTGTTTTATGTAGGCTCACCCAGAACATCCACACGACCCTCGGTCACGCATGCCTGGGCAGCAGCCACAGATTCTGAATCCCTGACATCCAGTTCCAATGTCTCCAGGGAGCCAGGCGGGCATCCTCGAGCCCGGGCTGCCTCCAACAGTGGTCCCTGTGTCTTCAGGTCCCTCAATGTGGCATACACTGAAATTTAGGAGGGGATAAATGACTATCACTACCTGTGGGGGCTTGTCCCTGGCTCCATGCCTGCCCCTCCTGTACCTTTGAAGCTCTGGGACTGGTCAGAAGCCAGACGAATAGCCAAGTGCAGGCCGATTCCGGAGGAGCAGCCGGTAATGAGCACTACTGTGCGGTCCATGACTCAGAGTACCTAAGTTCAGAGCACGAAGGGTCCTAATGGCAGGCTGGGGCTGGGTATCGCTTGGCTCTGCTCCTGCCCCCAGTGCCCACCCCTTGTTGTGTCTGCTGGCAATCTCAAGGCTGAGCCAGGTCCCTGGCAGGCTCTCCCCACCCTGCTGTGGGTCAGAGCTGAGAAAAGGACATTGGTTGTGATACCAAATTGCTTTAGTTGGGGGATGGGGGCTCTACAAGTAGTAGCTGGGTGCTCGGGTGCAAACTGAGCAGTACTGGGCAGATCTGGTTACAGGGACAATACTTCTTGCTTCGGAGACAAGGGTCTTGCCAAGTAGACCAGGCTGGCCTCAGACTCACAGAGATCCACCTGCCTCTTGCCTCATGAGTGGCAGGATTAAAGGCATGTATCGCGATGGTTTTTTGAGACAGGGTATCTTATACCCAAGGCTACCTTCAGACTCATAATATACCTGAGGTTGGCCTTGAACTTCTGATCCTCCTGCCTCTACCATTACAAGATTGTTATTACAGGTGTGTGCCACCACATTCTGAAGGGACAATTATAGTTACCAGCTTGCTACTGTACACTTTGTAAGGTTGGGGACCAGTATTAAAACAGGAAAGCTAAAGTGAAGGCTGGAAAGAAATGCCTCCACACCAGGGTCCACATGTACACCCAAGCCCCTCCAGACACTCCATTAGTATATGGTACTTTAGTGTAATAGAGCCAGTCTGATTCAGCATTTTATTGCTAACAGAAAACGGTACTTTAACCCCTGGATCTGCACTGGAGGAATAGAGCAGCTCATTTCCCTCCAAGCCATCCATGTCGATCAATCACTGGTTGACACTGGCTTTCCCCCAGGTGTAAGGACCATCCTGTGATTTTTTTTGGGTTTGAAGACCTGTTCCAGCAGGTCCTGGATGGCTGATCTGTCACAAAAAGCCTGCCTGGGGGTGATATTTGAGGAAGATCTTCTTGGCTAGGTCCACAGTGTCCCCTTGGGGCTGACTCGGATACCTCTTCTTGTCCATAACGAAGGCCTGCTCCAGGGGGAAAACATTCTTCTCAAACTCATGCTGTTGGAAGGGGACGCCTCCGGCTAGGCTGTGAGCCAGGGTCTCCATGAAGAGACCCCAGCGTGGCTGGTAGTAATTAGCCACCAGTCCTGCCAGCTGCTTATTGGCATAGTCCAGAATGTTACCCTCAGGCCCCCACAGGGTCAGTTGGTAGCGGCTGTTCTGTTCATAAAACTGGGCCTCAGTTTCACTCACAGCCACTGCCCGGGCCTGATCCAACCAGGTGCCCAGCAAGAAGCGGCTGTCACTTGCCAGCAGCTCATCTAGCGAAGGCAGGAGTTTATAGGCCAGAAGGCCTCCAGCCCTAAGCAGGAGATCAAGCTCCTTATTCAGGAAGGCAGTCCTTGCCTCCTCATAGCACAAACTGACCAGCTCCTGCACTGCTTGGCGGGTGACATCCAGCAGGTCGTAGCGGAAGGCTGGGCTGGTGGTCAGGTTTGGAGCAGCTGTTAACAGCAGTCGCCAAGCCTCAAATACATCTGACCGGTTGTACCAGACAGCGGTACTCATCTGTAGGGACGGCCGCTTGACCAGCGGGCTTCGATTGTGCCCAGTGCACATTTCCCAAGAGCAGTTGTAGACACTCCTGAGCAGCAGTCTCCAGGCTGCCCCTGCGTCCGGTTGGGAGATGCCATATCGGCGGCTGGCAAAGCTGCTCACCCAGGCTGCCAAATCTGGCACAGGGTCCTTGCGCCAGCCCATCTCAGCCATGAGAGCATAGACCACTTCATTCTGGCCGATGCCCTCAGGGACTATGCCAGTGCCGACCATGGTGGAGTTGGGGAAGAGGCGGGCCGCCCTGGGGCCTTGGTTCACGGCCTCCATGGTTCCAAACAAACCGTGGTTGCCCCCAAAGTTGTGAAGCATGCACCAGATGAAGGGCTGGCCGTAGAAGGAGGCTGTGTGTATGTAAACAGGCTGGCTCTCAGCAAACAGGTCCAGAACCAGGAGACGACCACGAGGCACAGCTTCCAGCACAGCCTTGATCTGAGCAGGGCCCCAGAACCGAGGCTGGTGCTGGAAAAGCCAGCCTTGGAGCAGCCATATAGCGTCAGGGTCCACTGCAGTGGGGGGAGGGGAACAAAGATGATGAGAGAGGGGCTGATGTGGACCCTATTCTGCCTATTCTGTCGATTATCACCGGTCACAGCGGCTCCCATGACCGGTCTCCCTGCCGAACCACCATCACTGGGACCCTTCTCTCCATCCCATCTCCTCCAGGACGGTTATTATCCAGGACATCAGAGCTACCCAGAAAGCTTAACAAGGATGCCTGAGCCCCAAATTCTGGACCTGCTCAATCAGGAGATCCAGGGGTTGGGCCTGAGAATCCTCGTATTCTGGCAGTATTGGGGTTTAGATAGTGTTTGAGTGTGTTCCCCAAGGGTTCACGATGAAAAGATTAAAATGTCATGCCTAATCTGCATTGTGAGATAAAAAGGTGGAGACTCAGGTCTGTGAGCTGGCCCTGCCTGCTAGCAAAGGTTCTTAGTGCTAAACCTGAAACTCACTCTGTAGACCAGGCTGGCCTTGAATTTAGAAATGCACCTGCCTCTGCCTCCTGAGTACTGGGATTAAAGCTGTGCACCACCACTGAATGCCCTGGCTATAACTTTTCAAATAAGAAAAAACAAAAACAAAAACAAAAAAAAAAAAAAAAGAGGCTGGGTTCGGTGGTGCATGCCTTTAATCCCAGTACTGCCTCTGCAGGTGAATCTCTGTGAGTTCAAGGCCAGCCTGGTCTACAAAGCAAGTTCCAGGACAGCCAGGGCTACCCTGTCTTGAAACCACTCTCCCCTTTCAAAAAAAAAGTAAAAGAGGAAAGAGAATAAAGAAGGGTAGGCTCTGAGTGAGGCTTGGGCCTCTGGTTTTGGATCTTGCTTGGAGAGTGCTGCGCAGGGGAGCCTAAGCCACTATGTCCCTTTCAGGGTGACAGAGCACCCTCAGAGGGCTCTCCCTCACTTGGGCCCCTCCTCTTTGTAAGTGGTAGAAATGAGCCTGGGCCTCAGATCTGTTGGTCAGGATGGATGTGTAACCTCTGGCCTTTATGACCGATTTCAACAATGAGGCCGAGACCAAATAAATCTTTGTTGCTGCTGTTTTTTGTCTTTGTGTGGGTTTCATGCATCAAACCCAGATCTTTAGGTTTGAATGCCTTTGCTCACCAACACATCTTGCTACTGCCACCACCCTCTTCTGAGGTAGCTCAGGGTCTCAAGTAGCCCAGGCTGGCCTTGGACTCCTAATCCTCCTGCCTCTATCTCTCAAGCACTGGGGTTACAGGCATATGCCATCATGCCTAGCTTTTATAAAAATCTTCATTTATTTATCTTTCTTCCTATTTATTTATTTTGAGATAAGAGTTTCTCTGTGTTGCCCTGGCTGTCTTGGAACTTTTGCTGTAGAACAGGCTGGCCTTGAACTTAGAGATCCATCTGCTTCTGCCTCCTAAGTGCTGAATTAAAGGTGTGTGCCACCACTGCCCGGCTTAGCTTAAAAATCTTTTGGTAGGTTGTGCTCAAAGGCTTTTTCAAAAGGCTAGGCACCCTGCTCTCTGAGCAAGTCCCACCTCAACAAACACTGTGGGAGAGAATGTGGTCTCGGCCATAAGCCACTTGCCAATCTCTGCCAATCTCAGCCAGATCTCAGCACCCAGAGTGGGTAAGTGCGATGGTATGTGTGCGCAAAGACCTGTTGAGCTGCAAAGTGTGGTGTCACCAGGGTACAGGTCCTGCTCCCACCCATCCCCTCTCCCGGGGGGTTTCCTATCACCATACCTGCAACCATGGCCTCATAGACGGCAGCAGTGGCTTTGGAGAGGTAGGAGGGCTCTGAGGAGGGAGGCTGCATCTCATTGAAGGTGTCAGCCCCGTAGATATGATCTGTGCCAAACTCTTTGGTCAGCTCTTGCAGGAAGAGGCTCCCGATGAGGGGGAATACAGGGTCTCCTGGATCCAGAAGGAAGGAGCAGGAGTAGGAGCAATTGAAGTGTCCCCAGCTGCCCAACTGGGTGACATTAACCTGTGGGAACACCCTATGGGGAAAAGAAAAGGCTCAGGTTTGGTGGAGGCTGACGAAGGGGTTGGCTTGGTCTTATACCCTCTTCTGTCTCATATCTGTGGCTTTCTAGAATGTGTCTGAGTTTCACACGCCCCCCCCCCACCTTTACTCATACTATGTCCCTTGCCTGGTATCATTTCCTCCACCCCCGAGGCTTAACCACCTGGTTCTTCCTCCCGGTCCCTAAGAGGCTCTGCTACCTTCCTCTACCAATTATTGATCCTTAGGAACAGAGCCATGGGCTTGTCACCTAGGGCTAGGACCTAGCACAGGACTGGGTCTGACACCCATAGACACCTGAGAGAATGTTCCACTGTATGAAAAGAATGAGGTTCCCATTGCTTGGTGAGCAAGATGGAGGGGTAGCCAGGCCGCTGGTTCCATAGCCTGACTGTGGTGGGAGCCAGGTGCTCCCAGGTGTGACGGGGTCCCTGGAGGAGCTGGCAGGCTTCACAAAGAGGGAGCCTCATCTGGACCTTGAAGTCTATCCAGCCACAGAGGAGAAGACAGAGTACAAAAAGCAAGGAGAGAGACCAACACACTTCCGAGGGCGAGAGCAGCTACTCATGGACATTCTGTGCCTGCAATATGAGTATCCAAGGCCTGCAGGACAGCCGGTGAGGGAACTACCTTGTTACTTAGTAACTTTTTTTTTTTTTTTTTTTAAAGAATTCACTCTGCAGACCAGGCTGGCCTGGAACTCACAGAGATCCACCTTTCTCTGCCTCCCAAGTGCTGGGATTAAAGGTGTGCGCCACCACCGCCCTCACTGCCACCGCCTGGCCATTACTTAGTAACTTTTCATTCCCTTTAATGATTCTTTTCACAGTTAAGAGACCGAAGAGCTATGTCAGCAGTTAGCACTGGCTGCAATCAGGTGGTGGTGCACACCTTCAACCCCAGCACTCGGGAGGGAGAGGCAGGCGGATGTCTGTGAGTTTAAGGCCAGCCTGGTCTACAGAGTGAGTTCCAGGACAGCTAAGAGTACACATAGAAACCCTGTCTCAAACAAACAAGAGCACTGGCTGCTCTTCCAGAGGACCCAGGTTTGATTCCCAGCACCCACAGGGTAGTTCACAG